AAATCCTCATCTTGCCCTGGCTCATTTGGCTCAGTGGTTAAAAGCATCAGCCCATGGACCAGAGTGTAAGGTTTGATTTCTAGTTAAGGGCACATACCTTGTTTACAGGTTCAATTCCAGGTCCAGTCAGGGTTGTGTGGGAGACAACCAATCAATCCATGTGTCTTACATTGATGTTTCTCTCTCCCGTTCTATCTAAAAAAACAAAAACAAACAAACAAAAATCAATAGAAAAATATCCTTGAGTGAGGATTTTAAAAAAAAAGTCCCTTTCCCTTAGGGTGAGGGAGGGTCTAGACGACCTCCAAAAGAATCCCACAAGCAACCACTTCCCCTTCAGTCAGACCTGGTTTTCATTTGAAGAGCCACCTTTTGCCTTGCTCAATTCATCCCAATCTCAAATGGGTCCATGATCCAGTGTTTACAATCAGCATAATCTATCCCTCCTGGTCAAAAGTATTGGTTCAGGGTTAGTATCCTGTTTCAACCTCACCTGGTGTATTAAAGTTCAGTTCTGACACTAACTGCCCAAAGTTAGCATAGACCCCACAAGTTAAAGGCTCAGGCCTTGACAAGACTGCCCCTACTTCCAATGCCAGCTGTAAGTGGAGGTCCCCCAGTCACTTGCACTTCTGGACAACTAACTGGTTACAGATCTGGGAGTTTCTCAATAATCCTCCCCCCCACCCCCCACCAGGTTTGACAACTTGCTAGAACTCAGAGAATGCAGGAAAGCACTGTGCTTTATGATTACAATTTTATATCCAAGAATGCAAGTCAGGAAAGCCAGATGAAAAGGCACATAGGATGAGATCTGAGAGGGTCCAAATGCAGAGAATCCATTCCCTCCCCATGGAATCAGCCTATCACCCTCCTGAAACAGCAATGTATTCACCAACCAGGAAGTCCCATTGGGCTTCACTGTACAGAGTATTTATTGGGGTTTCATTACGTAGGCATGACTGATTAAATTGTCACCATGTGAGCCTTGAACAAAATCTCCAAGCGCCCTACCTTGCCTGGAGGCTGAGCTGGCTCAAAATCCCAACCCTCTTATCACAATGCTGGTCTTTCTGGTGACCAGCCCCCATCCTGAAGACATCTAGGCGCTTGCCATGAGTCACCTCATTAGTAAAAACTCAATTGTGATCTAAGGGGGTCATGAATAACAGATACTTCTATCACTCTGGAAATACCAAGCATTTTTAATCCTCTATGCCAGGAACATGGAACAAAGATCACACAAATTCTTTATTATAGTCACTAGGTGAGCTGATGAAATTCAATTCATTTGTTGAATTGCATTTGTTGGAGCTGTTGCATTTGCTGGAGCTGCTGAGAAAGCTATGATCTTTTTTTGCTAGGGTTGTTAATCTGGTAAACTTGCAGCTGCAGGTGGCCATCTTGCTACCTATGAGGGTACACCTGCCTGAGAAGGAAGATAGTCCAGAAAAAAGCAGAGCTAAGAGAATGAGACCAACTTCAAGTGGACATTGTTTGAGCTTCTGGCTCCAGCCATGCCTGAAGTCATCCTATTTTTGATTTTCAATTTTATGTTAAACCAACCTTAAATTGGAGTTTCCATTGCAGGAGACAGCATCTTTAGTATTACATGCCCTATTACTGAGGAAGAAGTTTCTCACTTTTTTTTTTTTTTAATCCTCACCTGAGGAATTGTTTTTCTATTTATCTTTAGATAGAATGGGAGGGAGGGAGGGAGAGAAAAACATCAACATGAGAGGGACACATCAACTGGTTGCCTGCACAACCCCGACCAGGGCCAGAGATGAACTACCAAGGTACATGCCCTTAACCGCAATCGAACGCACAACTCATTGGTCTGCGGGCCAATGCTCTAATCACTACGCCAAACCAGCCAGGGCTCACTTTCTTATTAATACCTTGGCTTAACCTGGGCCCTGGATCCCATCCTTCCCCAAAAGTAATTCCTTCAGTTACCATCCTTTCTACTGGCTCCTTTTTCTTCAGACTTCTTACATAATCAGGTCTCCCTCAGGATATAAACTAGCAAATCTTTCCTCCCTCTCAAACTGCAACCCACCATATATCTTTCCTTCCCTTTTTGGCTGAACTATAGGACAGCTCTCCACATCCCTCCTCCCACTTATTCACCTTCCATTTGTTCCTCAGCCCTCTACCATGTGGCTTTGGCTTCTGCTTCCACCACTTCCCTAAACTTATTCTCACCAAGGTCACTCAGTAATGGTAGTCACCAGTGCTTCCATAGGAGACAATAGCAGCTCCAATAGGAGACAATGGATCTCTTTATCGTTTGTTTTTTCCCATTCCCCCGGCCCCACAGACACACACACATACAGTCTATACTCCCACACCCCTAGGTCTTTGGTTTCTAACAGAACTTCCAGGTATTTTGTGAGGTTGGTTTTGTTTTGTTTTTGGAGGAATGCCCTCAGGCTACTAGAGGCTTTGCCTTGGAATTGACCTCTACTGGGGGTAACCCTTGGTCAATAGCTGAGTGATGTTGGTTTATGGAAGGCCCAGTTCCCTTGTTTCCTAACAAATCTGAGGCATAATTTGCATCCAGAGCTCCCCTGTGGTATCACGCTGCCCAAGACTACATGCTTGCTTTTCTTTCCTTCCCTCTCCTGCTTTTCCCACTTACTGGTTTCTTCTGGTAGCACTTTTTAAATAAATCACTTGCACACAAATCTTCATCTCAGGGTCTGCTTCTGTCTGCCTATTAAATGTTGCTTGTTCCTCAGAATTAGGCCCTGGCCTTCTCTCTACATATATTACTTAGACGATCTCTTTCATATCCATGGTTTCAACCACTCCTCATGTCTGATCACCACTAAACTGCTTGTGCAGTTCAGACCATAGATCCATCTCTGCTGGAGAGCTCCACGTAGTTGGCCACGGACACCTCCTTTACTGTCTAATCAAGTAAGTCACTAGCCACACGTTCCTTAGTCACACTAGCTACATTTCAAGGGCTCAATAGCCACATGTGGCTAGTGGCTACCACACTAGACAGTGCCAACATATAGCATTTTACTCATTGGACAGCTTAGACATATTTCCAAACTTCACCTCTTCACTAGCCCCTTGCTTTCCTTGTATTCCTCCACTGTGTCTCTGTCCTAGACAACCATGGGCCAACTACAGAGAAAGTGTGTGTCAGGATATCAGGGAAGAGGAAGATGACCACAGAACTAAAGTTTTTCATTGATTATCTTTCTCTAAACTGGGAAGATGGACAAAGATGGTGATGGAGACATTAACAAAGGCCATCTGTGAGATGATGTTTTGTTAGAGCAGAGGAAGAGCTTTGGGGTGAGGGGGAATAAGGCTGGCTAGGCCAGAACTTCCCCTTCCATGATGAATTTTTTCAACTCCATCCAGCAGCCTCAGCCTTGAACAAACATTTTTGTGTGAGTTAAAGCTATTTACCCATTGCCAAACTGTTGGGTCACTTGCTTCTGTATTCCAGGATAAGCGCTGAATCCAAACCAATAAGCTAAAGTCGGTTCTGGAAATATTACAAATCTCAGAAAAGAGGCATGCTCCTACTAGAGTTGCTAAGCTATTAGTACTTAAGTTTTGAGCTCTGGAAAGCCATTTTGCCACTAAGAGAGGAGAGCCTGCGTGAGAGTGAAGCCAAATGTGTGGGGAAAGCAGAGCTTAGAGGTGAACCACGGGTTCCTGATTATCTTTTGGCCCTAGTCCTGAAGCTTAATCTACTCTGGAATTTTCAACTACTTAAGCAAATAGATTCCCCAGTTGGGGTTGGTCAATGGGAGACTGGATTGACAGAGGCTCTCTTCGGGCTCATGATTTTTTGTTGTTGTTAATCCTCACCGGGGGTGGGGGGTGGGGGGGGCGATGTGTCCTTTATTGGCTGTCGCCCTCACGACCTATTTCCCTCACCACCCCAACCGAGACCGCGGATGGAACCTGCAAACCCAGGCACGACTCCTTGACCAGGAATCGAACCCCGACCCTTCGGTCCGCTGAGCCAAACTGGTCATGGTTTAAATCATAAGCTCGTGTTCATGATTTAAACTACCCTCTATACCTTAATGATTCTCAATTTCTGTATCTGGCCTTGATGACTCTCCTGAGCTCCAGATTGTACGTCCACTTGTTTCCTGACGTCCACAAACACATCCAAAAACTGACATTATTTTTGGCTCTTTCCACCCCCACCCATGCCTTTATCTCCCATCTCAGAGATGGAGCCTCCTCCAAATTCAGTCCGTTCCCTCAGAGCCTAGGTCGCAAGTTCAGGCTCCGCCTCCTCGCGGGGCCTCACCAAGGTCACCCGCGTCTTCCCTGGACCAGCTCCTTGGGGGCGGTATAAATGAAGCCGTCAGCAGCTGGGTCAGACGCTCTAGGCTGCCGCAGGCCCTTGAAAAGCCACCTCCTCTTGCTCGTTTCCGGTACCAGGTGGCCGCTCTAGCCTTCATCAGGGCCTCCGGACTCTACCCCCTGAAGTGGCTTCTCTGTGATTGGCTTCTCTCCTTTGTCCCGAATAGCCTCCGGGAGGACGCTCTGGTTGGGACCCAACCCCTCTTACCGCTGCTTCTGTCACCGAGCCCTCCAAGAGTCACACCCTCTTAAGTCTTCAGGGTTGCGCGGAGTGGGAGGATGGCGGAAGCGAGCGTGAAGGTGCCCTTCCTTCTCGCCGCTCTTCTCTATGGTCGTTTCCTCCGGTGACGGGAAAAGGGGTCCCGGAGCCTGCGCAGAACCGGGCTGGGAGATAGTCGCGGAGGGGGAGGGGGCAGGGAGCGGGAGCTGCCGCCGCCGCCGGAGCTAACCGCGGGGACCGAGATGCAGGTGGGACCGGAACCGGAACCCCCCTCTTCAAGTCCTTCTTCCCTCTCCGCGACCCGGCCCCGGCGCCTCCAAGGAGCCCTGGGTGGGAGCGGGCGTGGGGGCCCAGAGGCTGGGGGCGGGGGGGTGGGGTGGGGGCTCGGCTCCGGAGAGTGCAGGAGACAGGGCTGGTTCCCAGGAGACTGCGGCCCAGGGGAATGGGTGGGTAGCGGGTGTCCAGGGAGTAGGGTTGGGTGTGAGTGGACTGCACCGGGCTCGGAGAGTCTGAGCCAGGAGCGGAGCCTGCACCCTCCACCATCTGCCCTTCGGGAAATAGAACTGAGCCAAGAGGCAGGTGCACCGGGCATATGTGTCTGAGTCCTGTTTGACAGAAGAGAAACTGAGTCACCAGCTCAGGAGCTGTAGGGTCAGCGGGCCTAACGGGGAGTGGGACTGCCTGTGGTGTAGAGGGTTGGGTGGGCCTGTATGAGCTTAGGTGGCCTCTCTCTGGAGATTGATTTCTCTTATGTGTCCGCACCTCTTGGCTCAGTTCCCCTGTGCTCCATGACTCTTGCATCTCTTGGCTTCTTCTCGTTGGTTTGGAATTCTCCCTGTGGTTGGAGCCATCTGAGTGTGTAGGGCCTAGGCCAAGGAGGAAGGGGAGGGATTGCTGATTGCGGTTCTGAACAGAAATCTGAGGGTTTGGGGAGACTTTCCTGAGCTACCCTTACCCCAGTCCTGGTGCCAATCATCTTCCAGTATAATATGGGGGAGGAACACTAACAAAAGAGTCATGGGTTGTAAATTCCATGCCCAGAACTGCCATTTGCTAGTTGTAAGACCTTTGCAAATCTCTAATTTCTCTTTTAGAAGATAGGAACCCATAAAGATAGTAGTAATGGCAGTCATTTATTTTGTGCTTACTTTTTACCAAGCACTGATGTGTTCCATTTAATTCTCCTGACAATTCTAGGGATTAGGGATCATTAATTCTGTTTTATAGATACAAAAACTGAAGCTCAAAGAGGACATATAATTTGTTCAAAATCACACAGCTAATAGGCATCAGAGCCTGGATTTCATCCCAAGTTTTACTCCATAACCCATGGCCTTAACCAGCAGGCCAGCCAGCCTTTAGGGCACACTCCCCAGCGAGAGGAGAAGGAGGTGAAAAGTCCTAGAACCCCAGCTTCCTGTTGTGTTTTATTTACTTTGTGGCCAGCAAAGACTTGCCCCGACCCGACCTATAGTCTTTCCTCACCTGGTGCTGCTGCCTCTGAGCCCCAGACTAAAGGGGCACCAAAGAAGTGGGCTGTGACCATTCCAAGCCTTCCTCACACACCGCTTGGGTGCTGGGCCCTTGGGTCAGCTTTCAAGACAATTGATGTTTGAATCCATCATCCATCCATCCATCTCAGTGAGCAACTTCCCTCCTCAGAACTGGACCTTAGGATACATGAGGCAGGGTCTCTAAGGTCTGCAGGCCTAGCTCCTCTGAGAGCTGGGGCAGTGAGGGACTATGACTGAGTTTGGTCCAGTGAGTCTCTGGTTACAAGGACTGTGCAGTGGGAAAAACAGTAGACTTGGAAGTCTGAAACTGTTATGAGCTTCGGTTTCTTCATCTGTTATAGAGGTTATTAAAATCTCTCCCAGGGAAAGGCAAGAACAGCACATGAGAAGCATATGATACATATTGAAGGGTCCGTTTTAGAGAAGGGTAGTGATGTGAACAAGATTCCTTTTTAGAGGAAGGTGCTCCACAGCCATTTATCACTCCGAGAACCAAAATCTGGAAAAGTGGGTTGGAAAGGCAGAATAGGTGCGGGCTAGACGTTGGGGAACCGGTTGACTAAGGCTTGTGGGGTGTGAGGATCTTGGAAAGGGTAGAGAAGCATTTGGTGCCCTTCCCCATTGCTCTCTGAGGAGTCTAGACCAGAGTAGGGAATCTGGCTTGGGTGGGGCTCGGCCCCCAGTCCCACCTCAGCAGTGACTCGGTGTATGTGCCTTTCTTCCTTCTGCAGCTGCTGCCGCTCACCCCGTGTCTTCTGGCCGCTTCCCTCTTTGCAGCCCCTCCCCACAGGCTCCCCCTCTCCACTTCCTGGGGACCATCATGAATGGCGCCCCTTCCCTGGAGGATGGGGCCTTCCCCTCACCTCCCCCCTTACCACCACCCCCTCCCCCTAGTTGGCGGGAGTTCTGTGAGTCCCATGCCCGGGCTGCTGCCCTAGATTTTGCCCGCCGTTTTCGCCTCTACCTGGCCTCCCATCCCCAATATGCAGGACCTGGGGCTGAGGCTGCCTTCTCCCGCCGTTTTGCTGAGCTCTTCCTGCAGCATTTTGAAGCTGAGGTGGCCCGGGCCTCTGGCTCCCTCTCACCACCCATCCTGACTCCTCTGAGTCCTGGTGTGGAGATCCCACCACATGACCTGTCCCTTGAGAGCTGCAGGGTAGGTGGGCCCCTGGCTGTGCTGGGCCCTTCTCGATCATCTGAGGACCTGGCTGGCCCCCTCCCTTCCTCGGTCTCTTCCTCTTCTACGACCTCCTCCTCGAAGCCGAAGCTAAAGAAACGCTTCTCCCTCCGCTCAGTGGGTCGCTCCGTCCGAGGTTCAGTCCGTGGCATCCTGCAGTGGCGGGGGACCGTTGACCCTCCCTCCCCAGCCGGGCCCCTAGAGACCTCATCGGGCCCCCCAGTGTTAGGTGGAAACAGCAACTCCAACTCCTCTGGTGGGGCTGGGACCATTGGCAGGGGACTGGTTAGTGATGGAACATCCCCGGGGGACAGATGGACTCACCGTTTTGAGAGGCTGAGACTCAGTCGGGGAGGAGGGACCTTGAAGGATGGAGCAGGGATGGTGCAGAGGGAAGAGCTGCTGAGTTTTATGGGGGCTGAAGAGGCAGCCCCTGACCCAGCTGGAGTGGGCCGGGGAGGAGGGGCAGCTGGGCCTACCTTGGGGGGAGGAGGGCAACCTCAGTGGCAGAAGTGTCGCTTACTGCTTCGAAGTGAAGGAGAAGGAGGAGGAGGAAGTCGTCTGGAGTTCTTTGTACCACCCAAGGTGAGACCCAGAGGTTGGGGGGTGGGGGGGGGTGACTGGGAATGAATGATTGAGCTGCCAGAGTGGTAATAGCCCATATACATAGCTTTGTTTACTTTGGTTTTTAAAGCTAGCTCCTGACTCTGAGTTAGTAGCTGTGGGCAGGACTGAAAAAGTAGTGTTATTCCTTTTTTTCTAATTCCCTTAGGATGTAGAAGGAAAGATGAATCTCTGGAGGGGAGGGAAAGGTGGTCTTTACCAACCAAAAGTATGGATCTTGTTCTCTTCCCACCTAGGCATCCCGGCCTCGACTCAGCATTCCCTGCTCCACCATCACGGATGTACGGACAACCACAGCCCTGGAGATGCCTGACCGGGAGAACACATTTGTAGTTAAGGTGGGAGGCCTGAGCTCCCTTGCCCCCTTGGAGTACTTATACTGGGGATAAAGCGCTTAGCACATATGAGCAAGGGACATTGGTGAAAGGAAGTGCATGTATGTCAGGTTCCTTGAGAGTATGTCCCTGAGGAGGACATACTTTTCTGGGAGGAGAGAAGAAAGGGAAAATGTTCTTGTTCTCATTAGGGGTGGCTTAAAGGCTTCAGGAACTGGGAATACCTGTGGGCCTCCTCTTGTCCCCATAGGTGGAAGGCTCCTCGGAGTATATCCTGGAGACAGCTGATGCTCTACATGTGAAGGCCTGGGTGTCTGACATCCAAGAATGTCTGAGCCCGGGGTGAGGAACCTCACTTCTGCACTGAGGGAACCAGGGGCTGGTGTGGGAGCAGCTGTGTGCCTCTCACCTGGTGACTTTCCTTCCAGCACTATTTTCCCTGTCTCTGCAGACCTTGCCCTGCTACCAGTCCCCACCCCATGACCCTCCCTTTGGCCCCTGGGACCTCATTTCTTGTAAGGGAGAACACAGACAGCCTGGAGCTGCCCTGCCTGAATCACTCAGAGAGTCTGCCCAGCCAGGATCTACTGCTGGGACCCAGCGACAGCAATGACCGCCTGTCACAGGGTAAGGGTGGAGCCTTGGAGAGCTGTAAACCTCAGAACCTGCCACGTAAGACCCCCTGCAGTTGGGCTCCAGACTCTGCTGTGTAACCCCATTCCTGCCCCTCAGCTACTTACCCCTACCTACCAACTATTTGTCTTTTGTCCATGAACATGCCAAGCCACTGTTTGCCATTTAGGACCATCAGCATCACCACCCCACACAAGTTCCAAGGAAACTCCAAACCTACCTTCTACGCTCAGCCTTGTCACCTTTTCCGTAAGCCTTGTGCAGACCACCACTCTGGCTGCAGATACAGTTCTATTCTCCAAGCTTCCAAAACACTTTGTACACATCTTTGTTTTGCTCTCACTCTGTGTCTCTGCATTTGTCAGTGATACCAAAGTTTCTTTTGACTGTACTTCTTGGCCTGACTAAACACATGCATACCCTTACCTATACACATCAACACAGAGATCTGACCAAACTCACCTTTCTAAACTCCACTATACCCTTTCCTCGTGACCCTTCATGCTGAGTTTCAGTTTCACAGTGCCTAGCACACAGTCTGTATTCGGTGAGTAAAATGGATTATAGAATTTTAAAGCTAGAACAATACTTGCAAGCAGTCCCAATTCTGTCTGTTCGCGGGCAACTAACACCAGGGACGAAAAATGTCATTTCTGATGTCACCGAGAGTCACTGACAAAGTAGGGCTATGCCAACTTGATGTCTGAGCCATGTTCTCTACACTGCACACATCCCTGTCTTCTGAGCAGTGATTATGTACGACATTCCCATAGGCTCAGGCCTGCCACTCTGCATCATTTGGGAATGCCCTAGTGCCTACCTGGTTCTATGCTAGGCTCGGGCAGGATGGGGGAATGCAGACATGCCTGTAATGAGCTTGCCCACCTCACAGTCTAGCTGAGTAGACCAGACATTACTCTAAAAAGCAGGACTTAGCCCTGGCCAGTTTGGCTCAGCGGTTAGAGCGTCGGCCTGCAGCCCGGAGAGACCCGGGTTCGGTTCCCGCTAAGGGCGCGTACCTCGGTTGCAGTTTGTCCCCGGCCCTGGTTGGTCGTGCGGGTGGCAGCCACTCGATGTGTCCCTTCACGTCGATGTTTCTCTCTCTCTCTCTCCCTCCCACTCTGTCTGTACAGAAAATGGAAAAATGTCCTCGGGTGAGGATAAAAAAAAAAAAAAAAAAGCAGGACTTAAAAATGGAGAGTCTGTGCTTAGTGTCCTCTGAGCAGCACAAGCAAGAAGGAAGTGTTTTGGGATCTCAGGAGGAAGAGAATCAGGGGAGGTGGAGTACACAGGGAATACTACGCAAAGAGATGAGAGAAAAGAACACAGCTTGGCTCCGGCCAGTTTGGCTCAGCAGTTAGAGCATTGGCCTGAGGACTGAAGGGTCCCAGGTTTGATTCCAAGGCAAGGGCATGTACCTGGGTTGCAGGTTCGATTCCTGACCCCCATTCGGGGTTGTGCAGAGGCAACCAATTGATGTGTCTCTCCAATATTGATGCTTCTTTCTCTCTCTCTTTTTCTCCCTCCCTTCATCCCTTCCATTCTCTCTAAAAAGTCAGTGGAAAAATATCCTCCAGTGAGGATTTAAAAAAGCAAGAAAGAACACAGCTTAGAGGAGGACACATGGTGAGAGCAGAGACCTGAGATGCAGAGAGCCTGGGAGATGTGGAAATACCGGATGGGACAGTTGGGCTAAAGTGGAAGATACATGAATACAAGTTAACATGAAGATTAAATTGGTCAGGTTGTGGGCATTACTAGAAGGAGGATTTTTTTTTTTTTAAATCACCCGAGGATGTGGTGATTTTTGTTTTTGTATTTTATTGATTTGAGAGAGAGCAGAGGGGAGAAAGAGATAAACATCAAAGGTTGCTTTTCATACACACCCTGACTGAGGAGGGAGTCTGCAACTGCAACCTATGTATGTGCCCTGAACAGGTATCAGACCCACTACCTCTTGGTGTACAGGATGACTCTCCAACCAACAGCCACCCAGCCAGGGCTAGGAGGAGGATCTTTAATGCCTCAGAGTTAGAGATTTTGTCCTATTGGCCAAAAAAGCCCTCCCCCCCCCTTTTTTGGTTAATCCTCACCCAAGGATATTTTTCCAATGATTTTTAGAGTGGAAGGGAGGGAAGGGGAGAGAGAGAAACATCAGTGTAAGAGAGACACATCAATTGGTTGCCTCCTGCGCACACCCTGACCAGGGCCAGGGATCGAACCTGCAACCCTTTGGTCCAAGGGCCAATGCTCTAACTGCTAAGTCAACTTGACCAGGGCAAAAAGGGCAACAATATTTGAGGGATTCTCCCTTCCATTTCTGCAACAATAGCTGTTGATTCAAAAATGATAGTGGCACTTTTGAATTCTAGGACCTCCTTTCAGTAACTGTAGTCCCTGAGCAGTGTATGAAACATAAGTTAACCGTTGGTGAAAAAACATCAGTGTCCCTACCTAGAGAAGGATCCAGCATTTCAGCCAGCTGACCCTGCCAGTATACACAGGGCAGCCTGGCTGGTGGAGGAGAGGTGGTCCAGGCAGACCACTCCTGTAAAAGAATGGCTTCTGCAGTTCTCAACTGTGCCCTCCTCTTTTTTTTTTCAGGAGCATACGGGGGCCTCTCAGATCGCCCCTCAGCATCCATCTCACCCAGTTCCGCCTCCATTGCCGCCTCCCATTTTGACTCAATGGAACTGCTTCCCCCAGAGTTGCCACCCCGTATCCCCATTGAAGAGGGACCCTCAGGAGGGACAGTTCATCCCCTCTTGGCCCCCTACCCACCTCTGGACACTCCGGAAACAGCCACAGGTACCAGAGGTGTGGTGTGTGTCTATCCGGGCCTGCTGCCCGCCTACCTGAAACCTGTCTCGGGATCCTGAAGGATCTGACCCGGGGGAGGGAAGTGACACAGGAAGGGAAAGCAAGGCTTTTCTTCTCCCAGAATGGGGGAGGCTTCCTTGACACCCAGGTTTCCCTCCCTCTCTCCTTCCTTAAGGGTCATTCCTGTTCCAGGGGGAGTCAGAGGGAGGTGAGGGGGACCAGCCCCTCTCAGGGTATCCTTGGTTCCACGGGATGCTCTCTCGACTCAAGGCTGCCCAGTTAGTACTGGCTGGAGGCACCGACTCCCATGGTGTTTTCCTGGTACGTCAGAGTGAGACGAGGCGGGGCGAATACGTCCTCACTTTCAACTTCCAGGGCAAGGCCAAGGTGAGTGCCTGAAGAAAAGGCTCTGTTCTCTGCAGAGAGCTTGGGGGTGGAGTAGGGAAACACTGCCATCCAGGGGAGATGTGTTCTGTAATTGGCGGGGGCGTGGGCTCATCCTTACTCATCCTGCCCTCAGCACCTGCGTTTGTCGTTGAATGAGGAGGGTCAGTGCCGGGTCCAGCACCTCTGGTTCCAGTCCATTTTTGATATGCTCAAGCATTTCCGGGTGCACCCCATCCCCCTGGAGTCTGGAGGCCCGAGTGATGTTGTCCTTGGCAGCTATGTTGTGTCCTTCCAGCGACAGCAGGGTGAGCAGAGCAGGTCTGCAGGGGAAGAGGTGCCCGTGCACCCAAGAAATGAGGAGGTGTGTGTGCCAGAAAGGTGGGGCTGGGCCTGTGAGGAGGAGAGGCTTGGTTAGGTAGAGAAGGGGCCTGTATGTTGGGGTTTCAAAGGGGAAGATATGCTGAGAGGTGGTAGGAAGGCAGAGGGCTCCTGGCTAGAGCCAGGGAGGAAGTTGAGAGTGGATCGGTGCATTCCCATTCCATCGGACTCCTATGTTCCATCATCTGTCTGTCTCCTAGATACATCCTCCCCAGCCTTGTCTTTGCCCTTCCTCACCACCTTGCCTTGGGCTGCCCTTCTTGGGAATGCTCGGTTTGATCCCCCTCCCTCTTCCCTTAATGTTTGATGTCCCTATTTGATCTCTCCCTTTTCCCCACCCCAACGTCCCATCTGTCCCCACGTTGCCCCTCCCCCCCCCAGGCCGAGAGCAGGCCGGGAGCCATGCAGGGGTGTGCGAGGGAGATCGATGCTACCCCGATGCCTCCTCCACCCTCATGCCCTTCGGAGCGAGTGACTGTGTGTAAGTGTGGTCCTCCTCTCACCACCGCCCATGATCCATCTTCCATGGATGGGGGGTTGCTCAGGAGATGGGATGTGGGGGAGATAGCACATGGCTCCTGGGGGGATGAGTGAAGGGGAGGCTGCTGCAAGAGCTTGCCTCCCTCCACAATCAGTCTGTCTTCTTACCGTTCCTATCCAGAACCGAACACCTCCCACGACCCACCCCCGCTCCCTGAACCCCCTTCATGGACAGATCCCCCACATCCTGGGGCAGAAGAGGCGTCGGGGGCGCCAGAAGTGGCGGCAGCAACAGCCACAGCAGCCAAAGAGAGGCAAGAGAAAGAGAAAGTGGGCAGTGGAGGGACCCAGGAAGAAGAGCTGGTCCCCGTGGTTGAGCTGGTCCCCGTGGTTGAATTGGAAGAGGCCATAGCACCAGGCATGGAGGTCCAGGGAGGCCCTGGATCTGTTGGGGTCCCTGGGGCAACACCGATGGTGCAACTCCAGCAGTTACCACTAGGGGGTGATGGAGAAGAAGTGGGCCATCCCAGAGCCATTAATAACCAGTACTCCTTTGTGTGAGACACCCTACCCCAACCCTTTCTCCACTTTCTTGCTCCTCAGCCCTCAGTTCCTGAGACTGGGGTTGGGCAGGGACATAGAGGAGTGGTAGGCATCCCCTTCCCATATGCTTCCTTACCCTTGATGGCCAATGGCATATATGTTGGTACAAGAAGAGGTTGAGAGCCCTGTTAACTCTCCAGTTCATACACTACAGGTGCCCGTCCCTTGGGGAGGGAACTTGGGCTCCATTACCTCTCCAAGGGGCTCTTGTGGTCAGCCCCACCCCTGGGGCCATTTCCCCATTAACTACTCCCCAGCCCAAGGAGGGGTGAGGGGGAAGGGCTGTCAGTTAATATTAAGGTGGTGGTTGTTGTTGTTTTAAACAAAATGGAGAAGCATAAATAAATAAAAGGGTTTATCTCAGTTCATCGTGGTGGCTGTGGCCAGTGTTTGCAGTGGGGGCTGGGACAGGTGGGTCAGGAAGGCAGCCCACTCGTGTTGGGAGCTCCAGAGCTGAGAGGCCAGAGGGCTGGGTCAAGTGAAGTCCCTGTTGTTCCCTTGTCCTGTACTTTCTGTCCATTGCTCCTCTGGACTGTCCTGTTTGTTGAGCGGTAAGTGCAGAGCCAAACAGTGCTTCACGGGGTCTCTAGCCAAGTTCTCTTAATGGGAAAGGAAGGACAGTGAACAGCAGTATTGACAATTTCCAAGGACCTTTCCTGCTCCGAATTCTTCAGTGAAGGCTTCCTATCCTAGGGAGAAAGCAGGCAGAGAGAGATCATGGGGGTGGGGTTGGGGGCATGGTGGTTCTGTTGGGAGAGATTTAATGTGGCAGCCACAGAGTCTGGCTACAGAGGGGCCCAAGGTCAGGCTGACTGTCCCCCTCCTCACAGCCAGCCTCGGAAGGTGGAGGACAGATGGCAAAGAGCACTGGCTTCCACTCCCAGCTTTTTATCTCATTTATTGTGTGGCCTGGGCAAGGTGTAGCCACTCCAGGTCTCAGTATCCTCATCTATAAAATAGGAAGTTGCATCTAGGTTGGAGCTGCTGACGTGATTTGCTTGACCTGAATAATGTGTCCATTGAAATTTCACATAAAAGTTCAGATTATTGGCTTCTCTTGAAAATCAGATGATCCAGCCTCATGCATCCACCTTCCACATCTTCACTCATGTGATGTGCCTGGCCCTGTGGGTATTTGAGTTTGCAACATCTCCCCTTCCTCCTTATGTCACCACCTCCCTACCCACCCCCCTGTTTAACCCAGGCTCTGCTCCCTGAACTGCAGCTCTGCCCTCCTCCAGTGGAGGGCACCCCTGGGCTTCCCAGCTCTGTGGGTGGTAGATGCCAACAAGGAGGGGCCAGATTCTGAAGACTCACCTATTTTGCTTGGCCCTCTCCCCTCCCTACCTCCATCCAGCTCTGCCTCTTACCATTCTGCTTCTCCCTTTTCCTCCTAGGTAGTGCGGAGCCTACATTCACGCCCCTCATCTCTGCCCCCACCTCCAGGCCCTACCCATGCTTATGACCTTGCTATTCTGGGCCTTGTGTCCTGTTGGGAGATGGACAGGAGACAGCTGGTCTCACAGGCCACCCAGGCTTGGGGCTAGCCTAGGGAAGCCTGCTGGCTCTCCCTATTTTGTCTAATCCCTGGGACTCCCCCAAACCTTGGCCTCAGGCGACTAGGGATAGAATTGTCCTTGAAAAGGTGAGGATGGTTTGGGGATCTGGGTGCTATGTATTCTACAAGTGAGATGGTGAGGAAAGACTCTGACACCCCAACGTAAGCAGGGCCTGATCCCCTCCTAATCTAGCAGCAACTGGTGCTGCAAGGCTCCCCCTCCCCCTGAACCCTGCCAGCCCTCTGGGACTTGCCTTCTGAAGATGGGTGGGGAGGGGTACATGGACCCCTCTTATACCCCAAGATTTGCATGTCTTGGAGGAACCTAAGAGACTATTTCCCTCTAAGCCTTTATGAATGGTTCAACTCAAGTTCGGAACTGGTCAGGGATTGGCCAGACTCTATCTCCATGTCCTTCAGAATTAGACGGCTCCCATTCTAAGCTTCACCCCTCAGATAGGAAGGGAAGATACCTTCCAGCTCGGCTTGGAGACCCCCAGTGGGAAAAATCCAAGACAGCGAGCACCTCATTGCCCCTCCTTCCTCCATCCCTCTTCACACCCTGATGATGACCCTTTTGCAGCTCTTGGCTGGTGGTGGCTTTCCCTCTCTGGCTTCTGTCATTGCCCCCCCCCCCCCCGCCCCCGCTGGGAAGTTGAGGGAGGTAGAAATGACTAACCTTAAAGGGCCCTGTTGGCAGCAGCATCCTGTAAAGCCTGCCTCCTTTCCTCAGCCGCATGCTCTCCACTCTCTTGAAGCTGTGCTCTGTCCAGTCTTCTCCCCTTCTCCATGTTTGGGCATTCCTGCTCCTTTAAGACAGTGCTCCTGTCACTCCTCCAGGGTGGCCGGGAGAGGCCAGCCAGTGCAAAAGGCTTGGCAGATGCTGAGCCTGACTGGCCTAAGAAGGTGGGTGGGTGCTAGGCCAGGTGGAGGTGCCTGTCGATGGACACTGCCCCATTGTCTGAGCCCCCTTTCCTTAGGTCACAGCAGGATTCTGCTTTAGGGGAGGGGTTTGTTGGAACCATGAAGAGGGGCTGAGAAAGAGCACCATGTCCTCAACTCACCCAGGAGGCTGCCCTCCCTGAAATCTAGGAGGAGGAATGGATGAGTGGGGGAACCTAATTCTTAAGTGCTGTCCACTCCTGCTGGCCTACCCACTCCCCAAAAGTGGGGTTTCCCTTTGCCTCGCTGTCTCCTGTGCCATTGTCTGCAGAGGACTTGAACACCAGGGAGGGAAGCAGCCTCGAGAACCCATTCAGTGGTCTATAATCCTCACTGTCCATTTCAGGAAACCGAGGTCTAAACCAAGGAAGGACTTGAGGTCAGGGTCATGAGGCTGCTTTCCCTCACTGACCTTTACTCTCATTGAACCTCTCTCCTCTCTCTGCCCTCCTTTCTTTCCCCACTCACCCCCTGTGCCGCCCTCCTGCTCCTCCAGCAGCTGCCCTGGTAGTAACCAAAAGATGCCCCCATCCCAGAGCCGGGGCGGGAGTGGGGGGCTTGAGCAGCTGCTTCTCTGAGGAAGCTGACGCCAAGGCCAGCAGCTCGGCAACAACTTGTGGCTTTGCACCCAGCCCTGGGTCCCCACCCACCTGGCTGCCACCTGCCAGCTTCCTGCTGTCCCTTTTCCCCACTGCTCCTCAGACTTCCTTCTGACCCTGGCAGCTCTGTCTCTGCTCCCCCAGCTCTGTTCTGTCCTTATTTCCCCTAGACCTGTCCCCATAAGTCTGCCCTCCCCACACCTTTCTGTCTGGAGCTTCTGCTGTCTCCAGCGTCCCCAGGCCCCTTGCTGTGAGGCCCCATCCTTCAGTCCTCTTCCGAGGGGGTGTGCCCAGTGCCTGAGCACAGAGCTGTCCTCCCTCCCTGTGAGGACAGATACGTCAGGACCAGGTGGAGTGCTGACCACAAGCTGTCCCCTTGGGTTAAATAGAACTGTGGGATAAGGTAACCCTTATTTCATGACTTGGGGTGACCCCCACCCCCATCCTGAAACATTTATCCCTCGCCATCAGCACATTCTATAGCCTCTTGGGTTACCTTGCTGCCTGGGTATCCCATTTTCTTGGGGGGGGGTTTCACTGTTAGGGATGGGGATGCCCTGAAGACTATGTTCCCAGAGGCTGGGTTAGAGCGATGGGGGTGGGGGGAGTTTAGGGGAGAGACAGGCAGTCCTGGCTTTGCTCACCAGGGCCTGGACACTAAATCCCTTGTTGATGGCTGCAGCAACCCCTCCCTAGGGTAGGGTTACCATCTTCTGCTCTGTACCCTTGACCCTCTCCCCTCCCTGCTTCCCCTTGTTCCTCTACAGCCACTTCCTCTAGCCCCCAAAGGATGTTCTCCCCTTCTTCAGTCCCTTTAAGGTTGGAGTATCTCTGCTGTCCTTGAAACAAACTAGGTGAGGAAGGAAAGTGGTGGGAGAGACAGGTTCAGGGTGGACGAGACAGGAAGAGGGGTGTGAGAAGAGTGGGAGGTGCAGGCCCCAGTGTAGAAGTGGGCTTAAGGGAACAACTGGAGGGATGAGCTTGGAATAGGAAACCCAGTGCAACTGAGGAAGTTGAGGCAACTGGAGGAGGGGTCAGTAGCAGAAGACAAAAGTGAAGTCTCTCCCTACCCCCCTTCCCTGTGGCTGGGGCCACCTTAGCTTCCCTCTGAGTGACATCTCAGGCTGCAGCCCCACTGTTCCCCCTCTGTCAGCAGAAATATCTCTCGTCTGACCCCTCCTGCTGGAGCCTCAGCCAGCCAATCCCTGATCTGGGGGAGGGGGGAGCCTGCCCCCCCTCTCCCTCATAAGGACCAGCTGGGGGCTGGGGGGGTGGCCGGCTGCTGCAAGTGGGACGGGGGTCAGAGCTTCGTGGAGGGAAGAAAAACCTGGGGGGGGCAGGAGACAAAAAGAAACCCAGACAAACAGGCAGGTGAACACACTGAGGAAGGCCCCCCACACGTGGAACCCCCCCAGAAGAAACACCGCCCCCTGGCCCCCAGGAAGGGAGCATAATGGAGGCTGCACACTCCAAGACCACAGAAGAATGTCTGGCCTATTTTGGGGTAAGCGAGACTACAGGCCTCACCCCGGACCAAGTTAAGCGGCATCTGGAGAAATACGGCCCCAATGGTAAGTGTCCCTTGGAGGAGAGGCTGGCCATGGCCTCTTGTACCCCCGCACGCATGCACACTCACGCACTGGAGTCTCCCCCTCCAGGGTATCTTAGGGAAGAGCTGGCCAGGTTCCAATAACTGCAGGGGGAAGAGGGTCCTGAGAGAACAGGGGCCCTGAGACCTGCAGTTCAGAAAGTCTTATGGGATGACCTTGGCGAACCTCAGATGCCCTGTTGATGGCCTGCTTCTCCTGCCTTAGTCACAAACTCCTAGGTGCGGGGGGCATTAGACTGAACTCCAAATGAATATGCCCTTTTCTTCTTTTTCCCTGGGTAGAGCTACCTGCTGAGGAAGGTAAGTTACTGGAATCCCTGAACTGTCATAAATGACCCCCACCCCTGCCCCACTCCCTTCTCCCTGCATTCTTCCTACTGACTCCTGGGGCAGATATCCCTCCCCAGAGGCTAGAGTCTGGCTGGGGGCAGAGGTTTCCAGGCACTTTCTCCTTGAGGCATCCCGCCTTTGAACAACTGCCCACCACTTGGAGGAAGGAGCCTGTTTCTGGAGCCCTGGCAAGCTCTGCGGCCCTTCTCTAAGTACCAAGTGGCCTGCCCATCACCCCAGAGCCTTAGTGCTCCAGGCTGGAAGTCAGGGCACTTTCAGTCCCTGGACCCCAAGCTTACACCCAGAGTCCCAGCGGTTCATCCGCTAGACCTTAACCCCGGGGTGGGGGGGCCCTCCCCTTGCCTCTTCCCCCAGGGAAGTCCCTGTGGGAGTTGGTAGTAGAGCAGTTTGAAGACCTCCTGGTGCGGATCCTTCTCCTGGCCGCCTGCATTTCCTTTGTAAGTGTGGGAGGACATCTGGGGGATGGTTAGGGGTGTGGGTTGGGGGATCTGAAGAATTTGCTGTGTGTTGGCTCGGAATCACAAGCTGCTCTAGTCCAAGCCCTCAGCATCCCATTCTACAGACCAGAGCTGAGGGGGGTAGGGCTGATTTGCGTCCTCCTCTGTCCTTCCCCACACCCCGTAGGCAGGTTTTATTTTCAGCTTTAAGGGTGTTCTCAGCCAAAACACTGAAGCTAAGCCATCCCCAAATCGTCAAGGGCTCTGAAGGCTCGGGTTACCCCCTGAGTGCACAGGGCTCCCCAGCTCAGAGACTGCTTGCCACCCAGGCACCACTACTCTCTGCCTGCCCTGGGCACACCCGCCACTCCACCAATCCCTGAGCTTGCTAGTGCCTTGTCCCGCCCTCCTGGCTCTGATTGGCCGAGACAGGTTCCCTCCTAGAGGCGGGAAAGAGCTGTTGGTGTGAGGTTGCCTCCAAATGCTAAGAGGCCTAGACTCCTCACCTGCCTCTGGCCTTGCCTCCCCACCCCTACCAGGGCTGGAACTCCCGAGATCCCCCTCCTCATCTTCCCCTTCCCTGCCCTCCTCATAGCCTCCGGGCTGACCCCATCCCCTCCTCGAGGTCCTGGCACCTCTCCTGCCCTGGAGCTCCCCGCAACACCCACCTTCCCAGCAGTCCATCCAGCATTTGGGAGTTTCTTCTTAACATCTTAGTCCTGCTGCAAGCCAAGACTCTGGAGACAAAGAAGTCTCCCTGTCCCCTGGTCTCCTTCATGGAGGCCTTGCAGTCCCTGAGCACTAGCTGGCAGGGCCTCACTTCTCCCTTCTCAGATTTGCTCCTTGACATTTGCCCGTGGCTGTTGCTTTTGCCTGGCAGAGGCAACAGCTGGGGTGGGGTGTGTACAGGAGGCCCAGTAACTCTATCCCCCCTCTCCTGCTCCCTCATGAAATTGGAGCTTCCCTGCCTTAGGCTGTGGGGGAGGGGTATGGGTGGGCCAGGCGCCTGTGAGGACCACAGGGTTTTTCCTATCAAGTCTTGGCTCCCATGGGATGGATGTGGCTATGGGGGTAGTTGGCCTGGATGTCTCCTAAGCTTCGTTTACAAGCCAACAACTCTGTCAGGGAAACCTGAAAACATTCCTAGTTAATCCCTGAGTTGTGCGTGTCTGCCCTCCTGTGCCCGCTTAATAGCAGCAACGGCAGTGCTCTGGTGAGTCCGCGCCTCGCAGTGTAGACCCTCACCGATGAGGTGTAGTGCCCTGTGGTGCCTGCCCCTTGCTCCTGCTCTCCCCTTCATTTGCTTCCTTGACCTATTTGAGGTGTTCTTTCCTGTTATTCTTCCTTTCCCTGCTTCCCAGGTGCTGGCCTGGTTTGAGGAAGGTGAAGAGACTGTCACCGCCTTTGTTGAACCCTTTGTCATCCTCTTGATCCTCATTGCCAATGCCATCGTGGGGGTTTGGCAGGTTAGCTTTGACCCCGCCTCACTCCTTCACATACTGACACTGAACAGGAGGCCAACCTCCCCCACCCTTCCTTCGTCACTTCCCCTTACTTGCTTTATTCTCTGGTCCTATTGCTCCATTTGGAAATGAGACGGAGTTTTAGAAAGAGGGACGAGACTATTGTTTGTACTGTCACTTGCTGGCTGTATAACCCTGGGCAAGGTCCTTCATCTCTCTGAGCCTCAGCGTCCTTCTCCAGAAAACGGGGCTAAGGTGCTGACCCTCAGAGCTGTGAAACTAACGAGATGATGAGTGCAAAAGTGCCTGGCTCTGTGCATGGCATGCAGGAGTTCAGTGAACATTAGTTTGAGTTTCTTCTTTCTCTTACTTTACACCCTCTATTTTCCTGTCCCCTGCTTTCGAGTTTTCTTAGACTCTCTTTTTTTTCTCCCTAAAACCCCTTTAACTGTTTTCAGCCATAAGTGACAGTTTCCTCAGCACACACACACACACACACCGACCCTCTTGTGGTTTGTCTGCTTCCCTGTGCCAGGAGCTAGGACTGCATGACCTCCCTCTTCCTCTGTGATGACCCTGTTCCCCAGGACTCTGGCTCCTGCTCCACCATCTCTACACTCCGCCCTCCCCCAGCCCTCCCCAGTCAGTCCCCTCCCCTTCTACAACCTTTCTCCCTCTGATGATCCTCCTGTCCTCCACCCTGTACCCCCAGGAACGTAATGCGGAGAACGCCATTGAGGCTCTGAAAGAATATGAACCCGAGATGGGGAAAGTCTACCGGGCTGACCGAAAGTCAGTGCAAAGGATCAAGGCTCGGGACATTGTCCCTGGAGACATTGTGGAGGTGGCTGGTGAGTGATGAGAATGAGTGGTCCAGCATGAGAGGCCTTGGGTTCTAGGCCAAGAAGATGTGTATGTTGGGGGCAGGGGCTGGTCATTCCCTGATTCTGGTGTCTAGAAGGTAGCCAGGATGGTAGAATCTTTGCTTCTCCTTCCCAGACTCCTCAGGAGGTCAGCCCAGGGCACTGTGGCCACAGCACCCCCTCCCTGTCAGAGTCTCAGCAGGAACAGCCAGTCCTGTCCCTGAAGCTGCAGGCAGACCCCCTGCTCCCCCGCCTCTTACCCAGTACTTGCAAGCAACAGGTGGAACCCGGTCCCTGCCAATGGTCCCATCTCCACCCCCCTCCTGAGGCCTGGCTTCTTTCTCCTTCCACCCACCCCCAAGCTTGGTCAGCCTTAAATCTTGACCTCTCAGTGCCCTTGAGGCCTCTCAAAGGGGAAGGAGCAAGGGTAGAAGGGAGGAGGGGGGCCAGAGGCTCAAGCCCCCGACCATGTAAGGGAAACTCAGGCCCCAGCAGAGAGCACGGGACCTGGGAGGAGGAGAGCTCAAGGAGGGGCCCCGCCTCTCTGGTGAGGGACACTTAATGCCTGACCAGGGAGAGGTGGGGGCCTGGTGGCTAAGATTACTGGGATTCTGCCCCCTTCAGCGGTTTTTATATTT